GGTTGTTAGAGATGAGGAGGTTGAGAGATGGAGAGTAAAATGTTCTATATCTTTCTATATGTTCCATAAAGATGAATCTGAATGTGATATAGATGTCATCCTCTGCTAGATGAGAGAACATTTTAAGCTCACTTACCAGGAAGGATAGAGCAGCTTAAAAATGGCACCTGTATCACCTGGTTCTAAGCTCAAATGCATATTTAAACATCCCTGTTTTCCTCTAATTCTCATCAACTGACTTGGCAGAGATGGCACAGATGTACATTTCCTTCTGTTTCCTTCCTCCCTGCGGTATTTATAGAACAGCTCCTCACCCATGCCACCGTGGGAGAGGTAAATAAGATGAGTGAAGAGATGCTATCTTTTATTGTAAGCATTATGCACAACACTCCTGCTTTATGAGCTAAACGGGCCATTGTTTATCACAGGGTGTAATCGCAAAGTCAGACAGGCAGGCAGGCCTTGGCGTGGGCACGTGGCATGCTGGGATGAAGGAAAAACGAGAGAGAAAGGAAAGGCAGGAGGAGAGGAGAGAAGATGGAGGAGTCAGGGCTGGCAGAGTTGACTATCAGTGGGGGTTTTGTAAGGATGAGAGGAGGGTTTGCGTCTGTTTTTATGGGATCAGATGGAGTGCTTTGATCTTGTCCCCGCATGTCAGATTCCGTCACGATCCACCGTCTCGTCCATACATATGCATACTGCTTCTAAACAGCCAGGCACCATGCAAAACACACACGGAGGTAGGAAGTAGAGAGAAGAGAGCTAAGAGAGCTAGAGAGATGGAGGGAGAGAAATTGGTTGAATGTGTTTGTGTATGCATGTACAAAGAAAGAAGGGAGGAAGAGAAAAATGGAGACAGAAGTAGGAGAGACAGAGAGGTCTGCCAATTTAGAACATTTTGAAGGCTTACAATGTTTCCTAGGACTGAATATGAACATGAAAACAATCAAAACAAACTATCAAAATGCTGCCAGGGCAACATAATTTCAGATATGACAAAGTTCTGAAATTCTTAATAAGGATGAAAAGTATAGGTCTGTAGCTTTATTTTGTAATTGTATGTAATGATGCAAAGGTAATAAAGACATGGTCTGTATGTATAGCAGAACATATAGCCTTCGTCAGACTGGCTACAAAACAAATATATGTTGGTCTGAACATTAAATTTACTCCATACACCACAGGTGTTGCTGGACCTTTTGCCTTTCAAGCCCTACTTACAGTACAAATGTGTATCATATTTCAAAAAGAACAAACAGAAATTGGTGAATGTAGGATAATGGTGATGATGTTGAAGATACTGATGATCATGTTGGTGGAGGATATTGATTTTACAACATTTCATTTTGACTATCTTTGCGGATTTCTCAAGAACTTGCAGGTACCCATAAAGCATAATGACAAGTCAATATAGAAATGAGTGGCTAATGCTGTAAAAGCCACGGTTTAGAGGTCTACAGCCCATTTACATCACTTCCTGTGATATAAAAATGTGTCGATATGTAAAGTTAACAGTTTTCGACCTTAAAGCACAAATACTCAATCAAGTATACAAAAAAAATAAAATAAAGAGAGAGAACAAACACAAGGCACTACTCTTTACAATTATAGTTATTGTTTTGCATTGCCTGGTCCTTGGCTTTTTCATGTTACTGTCAAATTCTAATCAGCAGAGGCCACCACAGGAATAAACATCTGCAACATGCTATATGTCTGCATCTCTCCATCTACTCCCTCTCTCTTTCCTTCTGATCATGAGGTAAAGTGACATGATTGACATCCCATGCAAATTTAGTCAGACCCATGTATGTCTCTTGCCTGTATGTTCAAAAAGCTGCGTGCTACCGTGTCTATACTGTCACTCATTACCATATCTATACTGTGGTCTGATCCTGTCATAAGTTCAGGCCTATAGGGAGGGACACTGTCAGAACATCACAGGCCACAGTGGCCTTCGTTGTACTATAAATCCCCCAGGAAGCATTACAGTACTGCACTGTACCTCTAATAGGGGGTGGAAAGAAGACCTTACTCATCACCACACACTCACTATCGCCCCCAAGTGGTGAGGTGGTGCTTACTGAGGGGTGATATAGCAAAATGTGCATTCAGTGTAACTATAACCATGCGTTTAGATTAAAAGTTAAGCAACATCGTGCAAAAACAGGCCAGTTGTTGTATAATAAAAAGCAAAAAAGATAAAAAACAATTAAATATTTCCTTCTAAACCAGAAAATTCCCTGCATCAGACACAAAATATGGCTTTCACTGACATTTTCATTGCTTAGTGTTGAATTGACACCCTTACTGCTCCTGAGTTTGATTTAATGCTGTGCAGCATCAGCCTAATCAGTTGGCATGTAAGGACACAGTATTTTTAATTGACTGAATTAATTGTGTGGCCTTTTTGGACAGCTAAGGAATTCTGGTTTTTCATGTGCTGGCCGATTGGTGTGAGAGGAAATAATCTGCCGATGCACTCGCACAGCAACACAAAGACAGAAAGACGGAGAGAGGCCGGCTCTCGCCTCAAGCCAAACTGACACAAACAGACAACTTCAAAGTGAAGACTGTTGTTTATTTGGCGAGGGGGGGGTTATCTGATATGCAACTGTCAGGAGAGCATTTTCACATGCAAAATAGCGAGTGAGTGAGAGAGATTACCTAGAGGGAGGAACATGACAGCATTCACAAGGGTCAGGATGGATCATCATCTTCAGCCGACTCCTCCTCCCTCATCTCTCTCTCTCTGTCTCCCTCCATCGCTCTATCTTTATCGCTCTCTGTTTTGCTCCCTCCTTTCTTCCGTTTACCCTTCCTCTGCATTTCCCTCTCATCCTGTTTTCAGACTTCATCACTCTGCACTTCGACAACCCGGCAGCTTAAATCCAGACTAAATTAGCTGAATGAAGATTAAATCATTTGGCCCTGAGCTCTCCAAGATATTGGGAGGAAGACTGAGTAAGCCTTAAATGGTGTCTGACTGGGTTCGGACCTATATATGTGTCTGAGCAGAGACTTTTCCTTCAATGGCAGTCAATTGAAACCTGATTAGAAAGGGGTGTTGGGTAAAAAACGAGGACAAGATTCAATTTCTGGGACAACTGTTCCCTAAGTAAGGGCACTGGCTTCGTTATTTTCCATTTGCCTGCACAATGTCAACTGATGACAGGCTTGTTCTTGGGCTAAGATATCAAACCAGGCAACATCATCACTCACAGCGCTTAGGAGAAATTCTGTAGTCAATGTGGTCTGTGGCTGCTCAAATCAGTTTCCTGGATAATGCTAGTTTAACATTCAAATTAACAAAGGCAACAACCTCTGGCCTGCAGTAAGCACAGAAAAAAAAGAGCAGAATCTCAGAAGAAGTCAGAGAATTATCCTAGCAGAAGGGCATTTTAAAGTAAAATATCTATGGAGCTGCATCATACTGAGACCTGCAGGAGTGTAAAGCCAGCATGTCACACAAAACAACAACTAAAACCTCCATGAAGAGGCCACCATGTGTCTGCAGAGTATTGTAGATGAACCTCCTCTGAGAGGGCTGCTGCTGCATATGACTGCAATATAAACAATGGCACA